GTTTTGTTTTGTTTTGTTTTGTTTTGTTTTGTTTTGTTTGTTTGTTTGTTTGTTTGTTGACAGGTTCGACCGTATGGGCTCCGGGGGGCCCCTCTTCATCGACATCACCTGGCACCCTGCAGGAGACCCCGGCTCGGACAAAGAGACGTCCTCCATGATGATCGCCAGCACGGCGGTGAACTACTGCGGCCTGGAGAGCGTCCTGCACCTGACCTGCTGCAACCAGACCAAGGACCGCATCACGGCTTACCTGGCCAAGGCCAAACACCTGGGCCTGAAGAACATCATGGCTCTGAGAGGAGGTACGTGCTCCGACACACAGGGTCCCACAGCCTGGGGCCGGGTCTCCGTTTACCTCTAGAAATGAAATCCCTACACAGCTCCTGACCTGAAATTCTCTGAACTGAAGGGAAAAAAACTGAAGTTAAACTTCTGAGAAGAGCTCACCTGTCAGGTGTGAACACTTCCAGCTGCCTCAGGCTTGACTTTTCACCTGGTTTTAGGCTAAAAGGTTTAGAAAGAGCAACAAACTGAAGTCCTGCTGGACGTTGCTCAGGTGTAGGTCTGACGTCACGATAAAAATATCTTTTACTCTGTTGTAAAGTTTAGTTTTTTACTTTTTCCTTTAAAAATGAGAGATTCTAAATTCTTGCCAGAAGAGTTTGCAGTGTTAGCTCCATGTTAGCATTAGTGTTAGCTCCATGTTAGCATTAGTGTTAGCTCCATGTGAGCATTAGTGTTAGCTCCATGTTAGGGTTAGCTCCATGTTAGGGTTAGCTCCATGTTAGCATTAGTGTTAGCTCCATGTTAGCATTAGTGTTAGCTCCATGTTAGTTTTAGCTCCATGTGAGCATTAATGTTAGCTCTGCATTAGTGTTAGCTTCACGTTAGTTTTAGCTTTGCTTTAGTGTTAGCTCCATGTTAGTGTTAGCTCCATGTTAGTGTTAGCTCCATGTTAGCGTTAGCTCCATGTCAGAGTTAGCTCCATGTTAGCGTTAGCTCCATGTGAGCATTAGTGTAAGCTCCATGTTAGCGTTAGTATTAGCTCCATGTTAGTGTTAGCTCCATGTTAGCATTAGTATTAGTTCCATGTCAGTGTTAGCTCCATGTGAGCATTAGTGTAAGCTCCATGTTAGCATTAGTATTAGCTCCATGTTAGCGTTAGCTCCATGTGAGCATTAGTGTAAGCTCCATGTTAGCATTAGTATTAGCTCCATGTCAGTGTTAGCTCCATGTGAGCATTAATGTTAGCTCCGCATTAGTGTTAGCTTCACGTTAGTTTTAGCTTTGCTTTAGTGTAAACTCCATGTTTGTTTTAGCTCTGTGTTTGTATTTGCTTTAGCTTTGCATTAGTGTCATGGTAGCATTAGCTCCATGTTAGCATCAGAGTTAATATTAGCTCCATGTCACTGTTAGCTCCATGTTAGCATTAATGGTAGCTCTGCGTTTGTGTTAGCTCTGCCTTATTGTTAGCTCCATGTTAGTTTTAYCTTTGCTTTAGTTTTAGTTCCATGTTTGTCTTTAGCTCTGTGTTTGTATTAGCTCCATGTTAGCATTAGCTCCATGTTAGCATCAGAGTTAATATTAGCTCCATGCCATGATGACTTATATAAGTAACTAATCTAAGTAAAGTACCAAATATTAACCTGTGACAGTTTTTTCTGATGATTTTTTTTTTGCGCACGGTACAATTTTTTCCCATCCTGTGGTTTGGTTCTGACTTGTCCACAGACCCGGTGGGATCAGACTGGGAGGAAGAGGAGGAAGGCTTCAACTACGCCGTGGACCTGGTCAAACACATCCGATCGGAGTTTAATGACTACTTTGACGTGTGCGTTGCTGGTACGTCAACTAAAACTTGATTTAAAACGTATGCTGAGAGTCGGGTCTTATCCTCTGAGCTCAGATTTACGACACATTTATTCCTTCGGGGTTTTGGTTCACGCGTCCCGTCACGTCTGGTTCTAAACGTGAATCAGTCCGGTGCGATTTTAAACCTGCGTGTGTCTCCAGGTTACCCCACCGGTCACCCAGAGGCGGCGAGCTATGAGGACGACCTCAGGCACCTGAAGGAGAAGGTGGACGCCGGAGCAGACTTCATCATCACTCAGCTGTTCTTCAGAGCCGACAACTTCCTGAAGTTTCTGGAAGACTGCAGAACGATCGGTGTCACGTGTCCCGTCCTACCTGGAATCTTCCCCATACAGGTGCGAACGGCTCCTTCCAGGAACAGAAGCACTGTTAATGATTGTCAGGAAGCCTCCGAGGCTGTTCTCAGAGCTGCTTCAGGACCTACGTCTGAACTCTTTAAACCTTGGGGCTGATGTTTATGTAAGGCCAGATAAAACTGTAACATTTGAAGAATCAAGGTGTTAATAAGGTAAAGAGTTGAACGGGTAATAAAGGCAGGGCGGGGCAATAAAACAGCAGCCTTCAGTGATAAAACGCTGAGAGTACAGAGAACTTTCAAGGAATTCTCTCTGCAACAGAACTTATCTTCTGCTTTACCCAGATATTTTTATTGTTTTTTCCAGCTTGGATCTAGGTTAAAGGTTAAAGGAGTCTGARAGCTGTTTTTACATGGAGACCTGCTGCACCTGTCGCATCTTTCAACTCACCTGGTCCTGATTTACTTTCTAAAAGAAAACAAACTGATATTTTATTTTTAATTTGACAATAAGGGGTGTTTAGATGTAAATTAATATGAAGTAGCTTTTGCTTGTGACAATTTGCAGAGTTACTGTTTGTCCATCTATCCATTTTCTGTACACGCTCCTTCCTTTCAGGGTCGCGTGGGTCACCGGTGCCCATATCCAGCAGTCACAGTGGTGGGGTACACCCTGGACAGGTCTCCAGTCCATCACAGGGACACACAGAGACAAACAACCATTCACTCTCTCGCACCTAGGGACAATTTAAAGTTATCAGTTAACCTAACAGTCGTGTTTTTGGTCTGTGGGAGGAAGCCGGAGTACCCGGAGAGAATCCACACATGCACAGAGAGAACATGCAAACTCTACCCAGAAAGGTCCCCGGGCRGYGATTTGAACTGGCGACTTTCTTGCTGAGAGACATCAGCTCTACCAACTGAGCCACTGTGCTGCCCCGTTAGTGAGTTAGTGTAGTGTTCCCTGAAATACCTTGCTGTGGTTTCTGCACGAGCTTCCCAAGGTCCCCAAATTGGTCCTACTATGGTCTTCAAATTATCTTCCTAAGGTTCCTAAACCGTCTTCCCAAGATCCCCCCAAGGTTCTTCCGAAGTTCTCCTTAGTCTTTCTAGGGTTCTCAAACGGTCTTCCTAAGGCCCCTGAAACGTCTTCCTATGGTCACTAAACCATCTTTCCAATATCCCTTAACGCTCTTTCGAAGGCACCCAAACTGTCTTTGTACTTTGAACTGTCCTTGTAGGGACTGCCTAGGGTCCCCAAGCAGTCTTTTTAGGGTCCTTGAAGAGTCTGCCTAAGGTCCCAGAATAGTCTTCCTAAGGTCCCCAAACCCTCTTCTTATTGTCCCCAAACCTTTATCCTAAGATACCTGAACCGTCTTCCCAAGATCCCCCAATGTTCTTCTAAAGGTCCACAAACCATCTTTCTAAAGTCCCTGAAGGGTCTGCCTAGGGTCACAAATGGTCTTTTTAGGGACCCAAATGACTTTCTAAACTCCTCGAATAGTCTTCTTAAGGTCCCAGCATAGTCTTCCTAAGATCCCCGAATAGTTTCCCAAAGGTCCCCAAACTGTCTTTCTAAAGTCCCTGAAGGYTCTGCCTAGGGTATCCAACGGTCTTTCTAGGGTCCATGAAGTCCCTGCCTAAGGTCCTCAAATGGTCTTTCTAAGGCTCCATTCCCAGAATAGTCTTCCTAAGATCGCTGAACCCTCTTCTTAAGGTCCCTTAACCATCTTCTCAAGGTCCCCAAACCATTATCCCAAGGTCCCTGAATCGTTGTCTTAGTTGTCTTAAAACCACCTAGTTTCCTCAGTGACTTTACTTTTTGCTTACAAAGAAAACTGCAGTACCTCTGGTACAATATTTCAGGAAAATAGGATTTAACTCAGGTTTTATTATTTATATTGTAGAAAATAGATTTAACCTTTCTGATGAGTCACTGATGAAGTGTTAAACACATCTGCTGCTGACAGATTTATTCATTTTACACCAGGCATCATTTTTTGATTTGTTTGATTAACTGTGAATCTTAATAAATCCAAACATTTCCTTTTTGATTTGCAGGGTTATCAGTCGCTACGTCAGCTTGTCAAGCTGTCAAAGCTCGAGGTACCAGAGGAGATCACCAGAGTCATCGAACCAATCAAAGACAACGATGCTGCCATCAGGAACTACGGGATCCATCAGGCCGTGGAGATGTGTCGGGTCCTGTTGGACAGTGGGAAAGTACCGGGCCTGCATTTCTACACGTTGAACCGCGAAGTTGCAACCATAGAGGTCCTCCGACAGCTGGGGCTCTGGATAGAAGATCCCAGGTCAGTCCGAAAGACTTGTAGAGACAGATAGTACTGGGTCTGGACTTGATGAAACGTTAACAGTCTTCTATTAGATTTTTTTTATGAAACAATCTGCTAACATTAGCTTCCTGTTGGAAGTCGTAGACCTCAGAGATCCATGGCAGGATCTGGTCTTTAGACGTGGTCTTGAGCTTGTTCTTTTCTCCAGACGGCCTCTTCCCTGGGCGGTGAGCGCACATCCCAAACGGAAAGTGGAAGACGTTCGACCGATCTTCTGGGCCTCCAGACCCAAGAGCTACATCTACCGGACCCAGGACTGGGATGAGTTCCCCAATGGCAGATGGTAGGTCTGTTGGAGGAGGTATTAAAGTCCCGTCAGGTGTGTTTTTGTAAATGTGCGTCTCTTGCTGCTGCCTCCAGGGGAAACTCGTCCTCTCCAGCGTTTGGAGAGCTGAACGATTACTACCTGTTCTACTTGAAAAGCAAATCGTCTAAAGAGGCGCTGCTGAAGATGTGGGGCGAGGAACTGAAGAACGAAGGAAGTGTTTTTGACGTTTTCACGTGCTACATCACGGCCCAGCCGAACCGAAATGGACACAAGGTAGAAAAGTCACGATTGGTGAGTTTTAACGAGTTTTCCAGTTTGGGTCTTTAAATCCTGAGGCGCTTCTTCCACTTCAGGTGATGTGTTTGCCCTGGAACGATGAGCCTCTGGCTCCGGAGACCAACCTCCTGAAGGACGAGCTGGAGAAGGTGAACAGACGAGGTGTCCTCACCATCAACTCTCAGCCCAACATCAACGGTAAACCGTCCACAGACCCCGTGGTGGGCTGGGGGCCTGCGGGGGGCTACGTCTTCCAGAAGGTGGGGTCTCTTATTTGAGTTGTTTCTGAATTTAAAGGTTTGAAAAACGTCTGAAACGGTTTTCTGTCCATCAGGCCTATCTGGAGTTCTTCACCTCCAGTGAAAACGTGACCGCCCTCCTAAAAGTCGTGAAGAAATACGAGCCACGTGTGAACTACCACATTGTCAACGTGCACGTAAGTCTGACCTGCGAGGGTCCGAGGCGGGGTCTGGGTCATTGTTTCATTTCTTGTTTTGTTCTCAGGGTCAGAACCTGACCAACGCCCCCGACATGCAGCCCAATGCCGTGACATGGGGCATCTTCCCCGGCAGGGAGATCGTCCAGCCCACGGTGGTGGACCCGGTCAGCTTCATGTACTGGAAGGTAAGGTCCGCCAGACCGGACGGGTGGATTCAGGAGGTCCTCGAAGTCTTTGGTCCGTAGGTTTAAACGAGGCTTCATGACGTCGACATGAATAAAAACTAGACTCTGAAATTAGAGTTTTAAACTCTGACTTCAGTCTGACTTTGGAGCCAGTTTGAACGGCGTGAAACCGTCTTCCTGTCTCTTCAGGACGAAGCCTTCGGCTTGTGGATCGAGCAGTGGGCCAAGCTCTACGAGGACGAGTCGCCGTCACGGATGATCATCAAGTACATCCACGATAACTACTTCCTGGTCAACCTGGTGGACAACGACTTCCCTCTGGAGAGCTGCCTGTGGCGCATCATCGACGACATGTTCGAGCTGCTGGACACGCCACCGCAGACGCTTGGCGGCGAAACACAAAGCAGCGTAACACAAAGCAGTGAAACACTTCCTGAATAAAATCTGACATATAAAAACAAAAAAAAACGTGATTTTTAGGAAAGAAATAACTTTAATGGAATCCMTTTTTATAGAGAAGTGCCTTAAAGACCTATTTAACAGTATTTTTTTAGGTGTTTGTCGACGTCGACTGAATCGGTTTGTAAAAATAAGCTGAATCGTTTCTTCTGATTAAAAAAAACAGATGAAACTTTTTTGATTTGTCATCATGAGCGAATTCTTTGTAGGGTCAGAGCGCTACAAAAAGGATGAAAACTATAAAATAAAAACAAACGTAAATATAGAAATTTTAACACAGCTGACAAATTTTTTTTGTTTAAAAAATGTTCTTTAATGTGAATTTATTTCAATGTTATATATTTAGTTTAAAACTGAGAAAAAAAATCATACCAACAGCAACTCTTTAAATAAATACAAATGTGACAAATTAAACAATGTTAAGAATTATTTTTAGATTAATGTTTGCTCAAAGAAGCAAATTTAAATTTAAATAAAACTTAAAAACCAAACATTTTAAAATGTTAACTAGAAGAAAATCTAAATAATTAAAAAATGAAAAGATGTAGATTTTATTTAAAAACGCACAGAGATATTTGAATTTATTTCTTTAATTTATTTGTAATGTTTTATAGATTTCTTGTTTTTGTGGCGCCAACTTCACTCCATAAACCTCAAACTTTATTCAGAGTTTATTTATTTCCTCTGAATATCAAACAACAAAACAACCTCATAAAATGAATTAAAACACATAATTGTGTTTTCATTTTTTTTATTTTTTTAAATTGTCTTTTTAATCCTAACGTGATGAAACAAACACTAATTGATCTTTAAAATGGTGCTTTAATGTTTCTACATGAATGTGAGCTGAAACCTCTAATGAAGAAAATCCAATTAAACAAATGCAACAGAGCTTTAATCTTTGGTGATTTATTCATGAAAGTTTATTGTTCTAATATTTGGAAGCATCAAAATTTTAATTAAAGTTATGTCATTAAATCAAGTTTTTAATTTTAAAGTATTTTTCTGCTCTTTTTCCTGTGAATCCTCTCCAGGACCACCAGCAGCCACGTCTGTTTTAATGAAAKGTTTTATTTTTTTTCCACTTTAATGTTGATCCAGAACATCGTGACCTCCGGTCCAAAGGTRCGGTCCACACACACCGACACTGACTATGAGCCGAAGCGTCGCGCCGACCTGCAGACATCGATCAGGTCGAACCAGATCAAAACTGCAGAAACATTTATCATAAATATTCTCTTTGATTTCTGGGGTTTACACAGCAAGATTTATTTTTATTTGAGTCTAAAGAAATTCAAACTCAAATATAACCTGTGTAAGTCCAGCACTTAACACAATCAGCTTTTTATTTGATAGTAAAATTGTATTTTAGACCATGAACCAGACAATTATTATATTTCTACAACAGTTTTAGGCTCCACACGATGTATGATGAAAAGTAATTTTCCTTGGAGCTCATGATTCAGATTCTTATGAATCGGACTCCAGAGTTCTGGTGATCGGAGCTTGGATGAACCCTGGAGACTCGCTACCAGTGGTGGGCACAATTCCCCTAAAGCACTAACGGGAACTAATTTTCTGATTAGTGCTTTAGGGCTTTTGCTAATTTTTAAATTTATTAGTGGATTAGCACTTGCTAAATTTAGTAGCACTAACTGAGGTCTATAAATGTTATWGATSAACGTTAATGTTAACAGCTGAGGGTGAAAACTGCACATTTTGTTCAGATGTGTCACTTATCCACAAGGTCAGGGGCTCTCTAACTTTTTGGGTCTGGGGACCCCCTTAATAAACCCCATGTTGCTAACGCACAATAATTTACTGTTATTTTAACCCCTAAATGCCATGGTAATAGTATTTTTGTTTGGTTTAGTATTTTTGTTTTACTGTGCATCATTCTCCAAATTCATTTTTTGAAATGAAAAATTAACAATTTCTTGAAACTTTTTGAGGACCTCCAAGAAATGACTCGCGGACCCCTGGGAGTCCTGGGACCCCAGTTTGCTTTAGAATTAGGGGACCTAAATACTTGAGTTAGTGTTTTAGAGTTAGTGGAACTAATTTTTAGATTAGTGCTYCCCACTGCTCGCTGCGGACCTGGTTCCAAAACCCAAGTCAGGTCCAGTACACAAAACAGAAGGTCTTATGATGCATTTTGTTTAAGCTGGATTAATAACAGAAAACTACAAAAAAAATACACTTAAATATTTGTTGAATCTTGAGTTTATTTCTTGTTTTGATACATTTAGTTTGATGCCAGCAGCAGTTTGTTTTTAAACCTTCTGAGCTTCAACATCCTGGTTTGTAAAAGTGTCAAACATTCAGCAACAAAAACAACTGGGTTTTGTTTTATACATTATATATATATA